GCTCCAAAAGGTCTTCCAAACTTGCTCTGCAGAATGTTACAGCAATGGACTGGAGAAGCACCAGTGAGCCATCACATATGATCATTACTGGCCTTTTGTTTGCCCTGCTTCCATACATTCGTGTAAGCTCTGTTTGAAATGCTTGTAGAAAATATGTAACAGAGGCAGTGGTATGGTCACATGTTACAAAAGTTGCTGTTGGTAGAGGTGATGATCCCTTGAAGGGATTTCTAACTATCACTTCATACACATAGTACGGATTAGCAGAAGCATTGTCTTTAGAGATAATGCTTCCTGTTGCATCAAAATATACTATGTCGTCTTTGCACCGCTGGTAAAACACTGAAAGTGTTTTTGTGGACCACAGCATTATACCTTTTGGATGCAGGAGCACTCTCTGAAGGACTTCGTTTGGAAGTCCTTGCTGTCTGTCTATTAACATTTGCAGACTGGTCATCTCATTTAAATGAGGTCTCTGTTTTTTTCTGTGGGACAAGGCAATATTTTTCAAGACATCTTTAGATGGAGCCTCATCCCGACACCCTGCTTGGAAAGCTTTTTCTGGTATTTGATTTAGAGAATCCAGATAAAGACTTCTTGGCAATTTGGTTTCAAGTTTTTCTGCTATTACATCTCTGGACTGTCCACGCACAGGTCTTGTTTTTATTTCCTTTGTGTTGTGGCACACCTCACCTCCTTGGAAAAGCACATCAGCCTTCAGGGTTTTTTCATCTTTAACCTCCACTTTCACAGTCACTGGACAATCTTTAAAACGGCAGTATCCCGTACATGAGAATACAGCCGTCTTAGAATGTGACTGACTGGTCTTGATGGTATGCCTCTTAAATCCAAAACTGCAAAATGGGTGTACTGACTTAATGCCAGTGGCTACAACATTAGTCCACTGCATACTTTTGAAAAGCCTCCCTTTCTGTGTTTTTTTTATGTCTTGCCAGTCTTTCTGATCAATGAAAAAAAAGCATGGCTGCTGTGGCAAAGAGCATTTGTAGAATTCCTCTTCAGCATTACTACTGTCACTTGTGTTTGATGAATTTCTACTCCAGTCCTATAATGCATCAGAAAGACTTTATTAAAAATAGGTGATGTAATTTCAGGACAGAAATGTTATGTGGAAAATACTTTACCTTTTCGAGGGATGTAGACGATTGTGATGGAGACACACCGGGTTGTTTCAATTCAGGAGAAATGTTTTGGACAATGCCATTGTCATCACTCTCCCCCACAACATCCTTTGAATATCATTTTATTTGTCAAACAAAGAAATAACTTTTAAATAGAGACATTGTTTTCATAGAGTAAAAGTATTTAAAATTAATGTAATAAATAATTCCAACCTGTTTGAGCAAATGTAGAGATTCATTTCCTTCCATTGCAGATGGACACATCTCCAATGTTTCGTCGCCAGTGTTTCCTTCATCCTGAGTGTGAAATAATTATTAACTCATGAGTATAGTAAGGTAAAACAAGAACTACATGTTTTATTTTAAAAGGTTTAGCATAGAGCTTACTCTATATTACAAATTTAATAGATGTTTATATAACCTATGCAAAAAGGCATGGAAACTGTATAATAGAAATGTGAAATCAACTACTCTGTATTGCATGTTGTCACAGCAAGTTCTTTAGTAGAGTAAAGAAGCAATGTTTGTTGAACACCACAGTGTTGTGAAGCCTTATATATATTTATATGGCTTTTATATGAAAATATTGTATTCTGCAGTGTTGACATAATACAATTAATTTATTTACTTTATGTTAATGAGAGTGTGGGGGGTGAGTTGGAGGGCAGGGTGGGCTGCTTTTAACCATGTAAAGCACTTTGTGCTACATCTTTGTATGAAAAGTGCTTTAT